ATCTTTAAAATTACGCAACGGAACTAGATGCATTTTTATTAGATAGAGTGATTCAAGAGGAAGGTTTATATATGTATATAATACATTGCACCCGTGCGAAGCCGGAGCGGATCGCTAGTGACATATATAAGTGAATGTGACAGATGATATAGAACGTATGATACGGAAAGAGATAGCGGTGTAATTTCAGTGACTCAGTTTCGATGCGCTATTTACCTGGTATTTGTATGTAATATCATTGAACACGCCTTAAAAACACTCATTGTAGTCTGACATTGAAAACAAACCCATAATGGGAAATGTACAAGTTCCTGCCATCACCTCTGCTAGATCGGACAGTACGTTCCGGCACAAAAGCGTGATATCCTGACCAACAAACTATACGTCCGTAAACAGAAATATAACAATTGAGCGATAAGGCTGGGCGTTATGAACACCTGAAAGCAGTCGTTATTAAATTCAGAGACAAGTCTTTGACAAAGCCGCAAAGTGGCGTGTCAACCCTTGTTAAGGGTGGTTTAAATTAATACTAAACGATGGAGGCATTATCGTGGCAGTTGAATTAACGGAGCGCAATTTGGTTCTAGCTGCAAGCGACTGTGGATCTGTTGAAATCTTTAGGTGAATTAGGGGCGATGTTTGGGAAGTTACCACTAAGGTGGTGAGGATGCCCTCCGCTTAGCTTAGTGCCTAGAGTCCTAGAGGGTCTGAGCACTTAACCAGGAAGGTTCGAAACTTCAACGCCAAAAAGCTTTTAGACATCTACATTTTAAGTTAATACCTTATAACAGAGCCGTGATAGCTCAGTGTCCGGGCGCTCGCCTTTAATTCTATATACTCGAGCAACCTGAGTTCGATCCCCGGTGCCGGCACCAATGAAGTTTTTAACTTTAAGTGCTGACTTATCACGTGCTCCGCGGTGAAGGAAAACATCGTGAGGAAACCTGCATGTTTTCGAAATAGTAATAAAAAAAAATATATATTTCGAAGATATGTGAAGTCCGCCAATCCGCAGTGGGGCCGCGTGGTGGACTATGCCCTGATACCCTCTGTATAGAGGAGGCCTTTGCCCAGCAGTGGGACATGTATAGGCTGTTACTTTACTTTTTTTTTTTTTTACCTTATAACATAATGACATTCATCCAATAAAGTGAGGTTCAATCAATATTAAATGATTTAACAATATGCTGTTTCAATAGTGATTGCAGTTCTAATTAAAATCAAAGCTAAAAACACTGAATCGACTTATCATTCCTCTAATCGTAAAAAGACCGGAGTAACGATTACTAAACATCTCGTGTGTTCGTACGCAGCTATAATCAAGCGCTATCAGATGAACACTCGAAAACGAGCCGGCTGAAGCCAGTATTTGATAACACGGAAGCGACCGAGCGTTGTTTACGTATTCCAAATTCTCGATTCCGAATCGGTGAGGACGGCGGCGCCATAAAAACCGGTCAAGTGCGAGTCGGACTCGCGCACGAAGTGTTCCGTACAATTATGTATAATAAACTAATTGGTAAAAACCTATAAGTTGCCTAGTAACCGCCTCGCGTTTGTTGCATAGAAGCCCCCGCAAATATTCTTTAAGTTATTCTGTGTTCCCATAACAGAAATACATCACCTGTGAAATTTTCCACTGTCTATCTATCACGGTTCATGAGATACAGCCTGGTGAAAGACAGACAGACAAACAGCGGAGCCTTAGTAATAGGGTCCCGTTTTACCCTTTGGGTACGGAACCCTAAGAACGGCCACGCAGTGTCGTACGCGTTCGCACGTCCGTAGGTGCTAATGCGGCGCGGATTGTTAACCCGCGTACGCGACGTGTAGGGGCCCTGAGGCTTTCACTAGGTGCGAAGATGATATCATGGGGCCCCTGCGCCTCGTACGGCCGCGTTTATCGATCGTCCTAGCTAACACAGATAAAACCACGACTAGTATAGTGCGTCTCGACTAGTATACAAGTATGTCACCGTGGGAAAGCGAATACGCTGAGATAAGAAACAACTTGGAACGATACGTGTTAATAATAAACGATAGAACGTTAGATTTTTTTGTCTATGCGTTTAGCGAAGGATTGAAGGATATTTTCGAATTCGCAGGCTACTTGCACTTCTATAGTTATGCTAGTAATGTAAATGTCCGTTAAAATGATAACTTTATCCGGTTAATTATTGTGTAATGTTTTAGTTAAGGTGGTGTTTCATGTTAAGGAAGTCTGTTTTGTTACGAGTTTTTTCGCGTATATGGTCAGTGGTCAACTGAGATATTATTTAGCTCGGATCTTCTCAAAACTGTCTTAAGCTATAAGTGCTGTTTTTATTTAACAATGTGTTGTATACACGTAAAAACAAGTCATTACGCGCTTTCTGTCATTTCATCCATGCTGCAGTTTTATCCACTTAGAACGTGTTACGGCTTAAGAATATGAATTAAGAAAATGAAATAAATTATATTTCCATCCCTTTCAAGGTACATAATAATGAGTGCTTATTATGTAAATCGTAAAGCATAACCGCTAATCATGTTCGTTGAGATAACAATGCTAATTCGACACGATTACCGCCACTTGTAAATTAATCTCCGGCGTCCATCTCGAGATCCGCTCCAATAACTTTTTTCAAGGTTTCATACGAGGAAACGGCTCAGCCAATGGTTAGGAATTCAACGCACTCAATGAATCAAAATCTCAGCATCAGAAAAGGTACCCCGTGCTACCTTACTCGCCGGAGTAAAAGTAATTGTCCTCCACAATATGAGGCACCAGGTATTTCTCCATTGTGCCTAAGCATTCGCGAAACGAAAACCACTATTTGGTTCACAATCGTAAAACAGTTTATTATTGAAACGATCAGCGGATGAAAAGTTATTTAAAGAGATTTATGTTTTATTTATGTTCTCTGTCAATAAACTTCATATACAAATGAAAGTTGAGAATACGTTAGTCGCAGAAAATAAATATACATTACACATATTACAATGACATCCATTTCGCATAAAGACGAAGTTATAATGGTTTTGATGGGTTTTATATTAACTGTCTTTTTTTATGTGAAAGTTGCCAAACGAGCAGACGGTTCACCTGATGTTAAATGAATAGTGCCGCCCATGGACATCTGCTACTCCCGAAGGTTTGCAGATGCGTTGACAACCTTTTTGGAAATTGGGCTCCAGCCACCTCACTCACCAGACGAAATGAGAAAGTACTTTCACTTTACGCCGGTCTTCTGTGAGGTCGTGATACTTACCCAGACGAGCCTGCCCATTCTTGCAACAGCCGAGGCTGCTGCGTGGCCACCGTGAATACCTACAGTACCTACCCACCTATCGGGTGTATATTTGAATGAGACATTCGCGTAACATCGAAATCGACCATTCTACTGCGGTTTTTGCTGTTGCAATAATGGGTAATGGAACCGCCGGAGTATATATAATATCACTACGTCAAAGAAAGGAGGATGTTGATCAGTACGATCCTCTCGTAGTTGCTTTAGTGGCATGTTGGCCTTTTGAGGCAACATGACGGATTCTGTGAAAAAGAACACGAGTAACGAATAGTCGACCAAGTTTCATTCGTAAAAAAGCTGTATCATGTAGTCGTCTAAAATCCGCGGGGCGGGTCAATTATTCCCGCACAATCATCGTCTGACAGTGGTGCATTGTAATTTATGGATTGGGGCGTCAGGAGCGTTATTAATCTCCAGTGACCCGCTGACCTAATTCATCATTTTCGATATCCTCGCCCGGTTTCTGTTGGCTTCGGAAGGTTACTTGCGGTGTCTCGTGCACAGCGTATACAACAGCCCTTGGGAGTCGTCTGTATACCATCTGAGTATTGTACTTCTACTTTGGTTTGGTTAGTTCAGTATTCGCGCCCGTTTTTCTTATTGGATTGGGGGTCTATTTAACTGTTATATGAATCGTCGTCCTAACCAAGCGATGTCGGCGTTTTCTTAAGACTTATTCCAAACATGTTGACTTCTCTTGTCTGTAAAATACTATGATATTTCTTTTGAATTATCGCCACAGTTAACATTTCCAACCCTCAACCCAGACGGACGTAGCTGAAGAACGAAAAGCTGATATAAAGCTGGTATAAAGCAGAAATGGTTATCAACGTTCTCACCAGGGCCGGATTTAGGGGAGGCGCAACCGGGGCAACAGCCCCGAGGCCTCCACAAACAGGGGCCCCCACAACAGAGATTGCGGAATAAAAAAAATCAAATTCAGACTAGTAAACAACTTTTCCTTTTATATTTTTTTTTCGCGTTTACCTTTACATACAGTGCTTTGTACAAACAGGATTACATTAAATATTAACAGAAATCAATGGAACATAATTTAGTGCCAAGAAGCCTCCAGACCTCTAAATCTGGCCCTGGCTCTCACCAAAGCAATTCAGTTGAGCTCCTTTCTAAACGGAAAATGATATTGCCACTCATTTTTTTTGTTCAACAATTTATTAAAAAGCAGTAAACGGTGTGAAAACCATTCCCATCATCACCGATCGGTTGCGGTTAGGTCCGGGAAGGAAAAAAAATGAAACCGCTCGAAAACCTGTCGTGGAAAAAAGCTCGATTTATAATAATGACCATCTACGGGGGCTATTAAATGTTGAAAAATGCCATTCATGAATGCTCTGTTATTTTTTATTCACAGCGTACGCGTTGATGTTTTAACGATTGCGCTAAATTACCGACGCCGACGCCGTGAGAATCCGAGAATTAGTAATTATCAAATCATTCAGATACAGGTGACGTGGTGATTTTTTTTTATTTCTAGGTTTATCCTGTTAGAGACCAGTATGATTCTAGAATGTTCTTAAGCCCTTATATATTATCGCAAAGGCAAGCGAACATTTCATTTTAGTTAACCGACTACCGAATGGGACAGTAGTCGTAAACACGGTTAGACCGTGGGAGTGGGATTGGGTGAACGTTTGCGTTAGCAAGTATCGCCCATTCAACGGAGGCGCATACAACCGCCCCCCGCGGTTACATCACCGCGCAGACGTGTTTGCAAACATCCGCGCGCATGGCCGCGTCGCGGTGCGTTTTCTTTCCGATCCGACCGGGGCAGACCCAGCGGAACCGTAGATCTTTTTGTTCACTCTGGACCTGGACGCCCCCCGCCGTGCGACTCGGCTACATAAGTAACGGCGAAGGCAGAATATTCAAGCAGTGTTTCCCCATTTTAAACGGACCACAGCCCTCGCCGCCTGAACAGCGGCGCGAAGTAAAATCCGAACGCTTTATGTGTCTCGATCGCATCGCCTAAGAAGATTTAAAAATAGAATTGGCCGAAATTACGAACGTGCGCCGATTAATTCGGCGGCGGTGCCCGAGAGAGCGTTGCCGATTGGTCAGCGAGTGAACGCACCGGCAAGCGGGCGGCTGCGCGAAGGTTCGCGCTAAAATGCGCGCGCCTTGGGGCCCCTGACCTTGCGGCGCACGCGTTAGGTCCCCCCCCCCCCCTTCTCCGCGCCTCCTCACCACGCCGCTTCGATTGCCAACCGACAGCCGAAACAAACTACCGCCGAAAGGACTTTGGCCCTTCCGTACAAGGTGCATTCTCCTGCACTATTTGTCAGTCGGTCGGCAACTTCCTAAAATCTCACCGATTTAGAACGTCGAACGCACACACACCACCTCCATTTTGTTCTAACGTTAACATATTCATAATATTATTCAAATTTAGAATTTAGACGGAACATGTTTTACTTCGTTTCTTTTTTGTTTTATAAAGCGATCGTTTCGACTAAACGTTGCCGCGTAGTGTTCGAGCATTTGACGAATGAGACATTTTACGACGCGGATAGTTAAAGGCGGATTCAACGACGACATTTGCGTATTCAAAATGATAATATCGCAGCTCCGTTACACTGCCCTGCTCCGGACCTTCTTGGTTCCTAATTAAATTTGTGCTTTACTCGGAATGCCCAATGCGTATGTAATTGTCTAACCGTATTCTAAGAAAATTATTGTTAATTCTGTTAGCTGTTTTATAATTGTTTGATTGCACGCGTTTAGTTCATATGAATTTAACGTGTTGCTAATGTTTAATGAAATGTACATGGGCCTTGCCAAAGTTTTATACAAAACTTACTCTTCAAACGAAAACGTTTCAGTCGAATATTTTTAATGATAGTAACAATTCTTTTTTAAGGTTCCGTACGCTAAGGGTAAAGCGGGACCCACTTACTAAGACTCCGCTGTCTGCTGTCCGTCTGTCTGTATCTCACGAACTGTGATAGTGAGACAGTAGAAATTTTTACACAGGATGTATTCCGCTATAACAACAAATGCTAAAACAGAATAAAAAAATATTTAAGAGGGGCTGCCATACGAGAGACATGATTTTTATGCCGTTTTTATAGATAATGGTACGGAGCCCTTCGGGCGCGAGTCCGACTCCCACTTGGCAGATTTTTATCGTTTATTTTAGGTGTTTTTAAAGCAGGGCAAAATTTGGTATTTACTTTCTAACAGTTTATGAATAGCTGTGCCTTGAGGATATAGATCTAAGGTAAACGTCTCCTAAATTGGAAGAATACCACTGAAGCGCTTTTGAGGTCTTGACTTTGCGGTACCGAATCGATGACATTTACTAATTTCGATATATTTAAAACACCTCCCAATAGTTATCAGGAAGTGGGCCGTTATCAATCTCTGAAAAGCGGTAAGAAATGACAGATTGCGCCCACGCCACCAATCCCTCGATACTGGCTCTCCGGAAACATTTCGCGCGAATTATTTGACGATACGTTAATGATAGACTCTCCTAATTTGCGATTCAAAAGCATCCGCTTTAATGCCGGCGATATCTTTGATTATGGCTCTCTAGGGAAATGTTTCTAAAGCAAAACGACCTCATTTTCCTTTTATCTAAGACGCCATTACAAGGTCTTGGGCCTACGCGCGCAGTTGTTTACCATCGCTTACTGTAACTTTTTATTACTTTATCGCCCGGTTTCTGAAACAGATCAATGAAGAAGTTAACTAATCAGCTGTCAAATGGCTTTGCAAATGGAGATGCAAAAAGGATGGTAAAGCTCTTTGAATTAACCATTCTGATCATTTTTATCAATTCAGAGAGTTAAACATACTTTTGGCAACTTTAAATAACACTTGAAAAGCCATTTGACAGCTAAATAGTTAACTTTTGCGATGATCAGTATTTCAGAAACCGGGCGTACGTTCAATAACGTGAGCGAAACGGTATCGCATGCTTATTGTATGCTAAATGAGTTTTATATTATTAAGTTAATTACTTAAAAAAATAAATGTTGTCAAACGGCGGCAGTCCCAGTCAGATATAATAGCTACCGATTGAGCCGAGGTCCGGCCCTCTCGGGCACCCTCGAATCGGAATGCTAAACGCGTGCTGAGTGACAGCCCAAGCCGAGGTCCCCTCACGGGGACCCTTGAGCCTGATCACTCCATGGAGCGCCCGCCAAAGCGCCCTAAGAGCTTGGCGGCATCCCAAACCGGTGAAACTAATATCGTGACGACCCGAGCCGAGGCTCCCTCGGGAGCCCTCGAGCTTAGTCACCATAACGCGTAATAATAATACGCCGAGGTTCAGGCTAGGCGCCCCGTGCGCCAGGCCACCTCAAGCCCGTCGGATCTGTGAAGGCCCCTAAGGCCAACAGTGGCTCATCCAGTCCAAAAGCAAAAAACAAGGGCGGCAGTATTCACTTTACATCAGATGAACCGCCTGCTCGCTTCACAACTTTTCTCATAAAAAAAAAACACGAGATATTTTCGCTAGTAAGCCACGCGGTCTGCCGATAGCGTGGTCACATCATGAATGCACAAGCGGCGGCCAATTGGTCTCCACGAACTGATCGGGCGCCGCATTTGAATACAATCCCGTGCACAATGCCGTGTATTTCCTAAACACGAGGGCTTTGGCTGGCTGCCCACCGCTGGGGCCGGCGTGGCGAACACCGAGCGGTAGAGCATCCTGCATTATTAATTATACAACCTGAAATAATTCCAGTCATGGTGGGAACCCACGCCGCTCCCTAGACACGTAAGGACCAAGCTCGTGGGTCGAATGCCAGACAAATACAAATTACAGGGCCTCGCATATTTATTTCCTTACAGGACAGGCAGTATGGCTGGTCCTTAACAATAGGTGATCCACTCGCATGCAAGATAGAGTAGTTAACGCAAGCTCTTAAGCCTTCGGTCCCTGATTGAAATAAGCAAAGATAGTCAGCCCTATACAAGCTTTTTGATTACCTAAAGTTAGCTTTTCGAATACGAAGTAAGGATATTTTAGACAGAATCGAATGATTAACATGTGTAATAAGTTTCCCCTAGCTCTTCGATAATTTATTACGTATTTATAAAACTTTTGGTTCATACTATTATTAAAAATAATACAATCATTTAAAATTAAAGTAACAGCCTGTGTATGTTCTATTGCTGTGCAATAGACCTCCACTGCGGATTGGCAATTTCACGTTATATATTTGAAATATTTTTTTTATTATTTAAAAAAATTTCCGTCACCGCTTAGCGTGTGAAAGTCAGTACTAATTATTTAATTACTTTTAAAAAAAATTATATAATTGGTGCTGGCATTAAGTGGGGTTTGAACTCAGGTTCCTCGATAATATTGAATTAAAAGCGAGCGCTCGGTGATTTATCACTTACATATTAGCGTTCTACCTATGTAGTAAAGTTTTAATTACGGTTTGTTTTTAATAACAACCATCATTCATGATAATGCCAGAACACATACCTTTGTAATAATTGTATCATGTTTCATGAATACAGAGAAAATATTTAACTTACCGATTATTTTCAAACATGTTCGGTGTAATGGAATAGGTACACTGAATTTCTCTTGCGGGCATTAATTAATCTGGAGATACGAAGGCTTGTTTTTGTTGAATAGTAGTTTATTATTGTTGGTTAGCATCCTAACAATATTCGAGACCTATGTGAGATGTACGTTCCACAGTGAACTGCCGCTAGTTATATAAATAAATAAATATTTTAGGGCCCATTTTTTAACAACGTGATATTTACATTCTCAGCCCGTAGTAACTCTCACGGTCCAATGTATCGGTAAAAAATCACGTAAACTAAATCACGTTAAAATCAAACTTTTAACACATATTTATCTCGATTAATTTGACTTCAAAGTTAGAAGTTTTCAGAATTTGGAATGCTGCGATTCAACGGGACGTAGAGAAGGCGTTTCAATTCAATTTAAAAGTATTCATTTTCGTACTACACAGAAATTGTTCACTTAATCTAGAGGTCCTAAAGTGGTAATTTAGTTTGGTTTGTTATATTTTTTTAAGGCATTGTAGAAGTTTGTACAGGGAGAAAATTTATAAATATTCTGGTAACTCCGAACAGGCATAGAAATATTAATTATGATAAAACGAGTGATCATTGGCAAGGTGCGTCTCTTGCGAATTCTACATCGCTCGAAATCAGATGGAAGATTCGTCGCTAGCCAGTTCGTAATAAAATGCCCGTATCTTGAATTACACAATGATGAAGGAACAACAGCTTCCATACCAGCTCCTCCTTCGAAGGGAGTCCAGTTCAAGCCGGAAAGCACCATGGCGTCACAAAAGGCCTAACGTAAAATTTAGCATTTTATATCATTATTTACTTTTTTTAGTTGTAGTTTAGTTACAAACCAACAGAATATATGTTTATACATTAATATGAAAATAAAATAACATCATGTTTGACACTAATATGAACGTGACCACATTTGCAACATCGTGATTTTATAATTCTTAAAGCAGTTAAGAAGAGTTAAGTTTAAATATTAATTATAAAAAGATAATACTTAATAATAAAAACGAATATAATAAAAAACAAAATGGGGAAAGATAAAAATCAACCTATTTAAACGAGAAATTATACAGGGGAATTGTCTTCAGTGTCACGTGTGGAGAATCTAGCCCACACGCCTCCATCAAACTGTCAGGTATTGTAAGACGCGTGAGCAGGGTCACGTGCACCTTGTCTCAACCGTGTACTTTTAACGTTACACAAACGACGTCGCAGATGAAGCGTCAACTGGCAAACCGAGCCGAAACGGAGTGGACCCATCGTGAGAGCCGAGAACGTTGCCGCAATTACTGGCGCATGACTGAGCGCCTAGCGACGCCCGCGTGCTGTCTCGGCCGAAGCCTTATCTAGGAGATCTAGGAGAGCGATTTACGGCTCGTATGTGGACACGTCGTCACGGAGGGGCGATGGAAAAATGATGGGGGGAAACGCATGCGGAATACATTGACGTCGCATTACGTAAAGCTGTAACGCATCTAGTAGTCAAGCCTAGCCTAAGAGCACAGTGAACGGCGTACGCTAGACCTTACATCCTTAAAGGTCATCTTTTCCATTCCACAGTCAGAGCTGGGGTATGTATGTATATATGTTCGGCACAGTTCGATATTCGCTAGCTTTAAGAGCAACTGTATTTCGGAAACATCGGCAATCTTCACGATTCTTACGGCCCACAGAATATAGGATTAAAATAGAATCGTTTTTCCATAAAGACTAGGAAACGGGGAACTAATTGCAAATGATGA